ATATTCCACATTAAACTCATCAAAAATCAGTGAAAATAAATTCCACACAAAATGCCCGAAAAGCATTTTCATCGAAAATTTATTCCAGCGAAAATAAAGTATTCCACAGTAGTTGGCATTATTAACATACTAACAATACACACCACAGTCATCATTAAACATAGTTTGTGTCATGGTGTTCAAAATTGATCGGTTAGTACCAGTACATATGGAGAGTCTTCTTGAAAGTCAAAAGGCACTTACCCGTAGTATATTCAATAATGATCTAAATAGGTTTCGGTAACAGTAAATTTAGTTTGGGAAACAAAAAATCACTGCAAACTCATCTTGGGAACGTATGTACCGGTATTCTGTGAATGTTGTTTTTCAAAAGTGAGGAAGCCATTTTGGAAATAATTTACCTCTCGCTAGGTTTTAGTCAAGATGTGTTGAATAACAGGTTTTTAATAATAGTAATAATCGTATATCTGAAAGGTGTGACATTTTTTATGGAAGGCAAAGGCTTCACTACTTTCTCAATTCAAAAATTGTTTATTTTAATAGTTCTTCAATTTCTCACAATTTACAATCACAGTAACTGTAAACGAAAGTCATGTGTTGCAGTAAATTTTGTGTATTAAAATAAACGTTAAATTTTCGAAATTCAAGTCGTGAGGGATGTACTGTATATTGAACACGACATGATGCAATGACTGTGGTACTTTCATCCTCACAAATGCGCTTAAATAATTAAACAGCAAAAACAAAATGCAAAGTTTGATTTACCTTCAGGTTAAAAGTCCGTGTGCACTACTTGTCACATGCACCAATGTACAAACTAACATTTGTGTTCCATTTCAACAGGTATCGTGTTATAGTGCCCTATCCACCGCAAAGTAATGAAGAACTTGAGCTGAAAATCGGTGACACGGTTTATGTGCATAAAAAACGAGACGATGGATGGTACAAGGGAACCCTGCAAAGAACTGGAAAAACTGGACTATTTCCAGGAAGCTTTGTGGACAAGTTTTGATGAAAGCCATTCAGAAAGAAACTGACGCATGATTATTTATCATTGCTGACTATAATATGCGGATATTGAATGTTCCACTAGATATGACCAAATATGGAATTGTGATTATAAATATCAACATAGGAGGGTGTTTAAATCCACCAGATATGACAAAACACTCATTGTGTGGTTTTAATTATCAACCTATGGGTGCTTAATTCTAAACTAAGATATTAAGATTGCTTTAGATTGAGTAGATAAAAACAAACACACATACAATCATGTATGTCCATGAATTTTGAGTTCCCATTTTTAAACAAATGATGCTATTATAGGTGGCATGGGTTTGTTTGTTTGTTTGTCTCTCCTCATCCAAATTTGAGGCTCACAATTGTTTGTGATTATGATATCATGTTCGTCACTCTAAAGTGATTGAGAAAAGAGCAGTCGTTATCGAGCTGTGTGATAACATTTTATTGCACTGAATAATGCATTTGACGCGCATGCATAGATACATTTCATATAGTGTGGGTCCCATGTCTTAACAGTAGTAACCACCTTCCTCAGCTCTCTACAGTTAGTTACAAAGCATTGTGGTTGGGTAGTTATCTCATGTTTTGGCTCCCCTAAGTACTCGTTATTTATTATGACAGCAGATACTGGTGTACATCAATCCACCCCCTAGATTGTCGAAAAGAAACACAGTCTCGTGTTTACTTGATAAATGTGAAAGTTATACAGATCATTTTTTTTTTTCAAAAAAACTTAGTCGTCATTTAATTTCTCTTTTCATCCACTCTGAAACATTTCTTACTACAAATTTTCAACACTACATATTAAATCGGACAGACGAATAGTGCCTTTCTTACAAAGATTACTGTTAAAATTATTTCTCATTTGCGCACTATGGATAGTATTAATGACGTTAATGACGACTGCACTGCTGTTTAATTGTCATTCAATATGCAATGTATTGTCATAACAAATATGATTTCGATTTTAGGATAAAAATGAATAAAAAGAAAATGTCCATCTGCATAAATTTATGACAACAAATAAAAACTTTTTTTTGGGATTAATAATGTTGATGTGATAAAATGTCGGAATTCACTTCATCTAGTTACTGTCCTGGTCATTACGATACGTTGTTTAGGATGTTACAAAATTGTTGTTTATTTCTTGAAAATTTGTTCTTAGAAAATTACTTTCATATCCATTTTTTTATAATTTTCTATCTTCGGTGAGTTATGACATCAGATTAAGTGTTAATCCAGATTTAGTGTTAATCCAGATTTAGCGTTATCCAGATTTAGCATTAATTCATAGACTTTTATCCATTGAAATTTCTCATGAGTTCATGTGAACTTAGAAAACGATAAACAATGCATTTTAAAGAGATCATTAGATAGTATTACTTATTATTAATTACAAAATAATCATGTATTTGAAAAAACAAATCCTTATTGGTTAGACAGGTCAACCAGTTATTTTTGCGAGCAGAAAATAAGCATAGGTAGGCAGGATCACTACTTATTTGTGTTGGATTGCTGTCTTGCTCATCAATGTACATATTTTGTATTTTGCATCATTGGGATAAAAAAAAAATTCAGTAGAAATGAAGCAAAGAGCTCAGATGAGATGTAACTCTCTGAAACACAGCCCCTCAAAATATTCAAAGTTTTCTTTTCTTTTTTGGTAATAAATTGTCCTAATATGGTAGGGTGCAGTGTGCAATACTGGACAGATTGCATATTTTGATATCATACTTATCACAATTATTTAACACATGCCTGGTCTTGTCTATTTCCCTTTTTCGTAAAACTCTGTACGAGATTTGTAACAGACCTGCTACTAGTACTATCTTTATTATCATCCATGATTCTGGTATTGAAATATGAACGTAGTTGAAGTGCAATGTAATTATTCTTTCTCTCTAGGGGATTAATGTGATTTGTTTTTTGCTTCAAATTATTTTTTTTTACTGACCATTATACATCAGGAGGAGAATGAACCAAAACTTTAATTGTTTTTACGCTGAATTTCTGAAACTCTTTATTCCAATTCCCTCCATCTTACAAGTGCTTAGACCGTGTGGTTGGTACAGTCATGAAGTGACAATGGGTAATTTTGATTGGCAGGTTGAAATAGCACTTTGTCGTCAATGGATACATGCAAGTAACACTGAGCCAAACATATACTTCTGTAGTTGCTGGAGTTCCAAACTCTGCGACATATATTTTTGTTAAAATTGGATTGATTGTCACAAACCATCGAATACATTAACATGTTTAATTAGTGTTGGATTGGGCCTTGTCTTGGCTTGTGTGTAATGGTATAAAACCAGTGAAATGCAGCAAGAATCTGGGTTAGATTGATCTAATATTGATATATTGAGTAATTGTGTGCTCAAAACAATAATTACGGATCAAGTATTTTTGGAAGCCAGACATAATTAATTAATGCAACACATTAAAATGGTAACATCATTTGTTTATATTTATTTGGTATTGCGTGCAAAAATGAATTCTGCCATTATTTCGATATTTTTTTTCCACTGGTTGACCTTTTCTTCTTTAGTTATTTTTACACGTTTTATTTAATACTGTGATACTATATCTTTAATAACAGGGTTAAAATTTAAAAGTACAAGTTAATCTCAATATCAGTCTTCCCATTGTTAGGTAGATGTTGCTAGGAAGTTATGTGCCTACATAACACAAGTCTGATTTTGAAAAAAAAAATTGCAATATTTTCTGTAAATAATGAACAATTTCTGATATTTCCATTTTTTTGGCTATTCCAGTTAACTTAAGTCGTAAGATAACCTACAATCGAAGTTGAACAATTTCATTAAACTGAAAAACATGTTATTTATCTTACCGAAAGTATCAATTAGCTATAATTTGTCTATGTTTCATTACAATAGTTCAACAGAGATCAGACCAACTGCAATAGAGTTCATGGGTGTGGCTACTGTCCATGTAAAAAAATAGTGTATTCTAATTGGCTGTTGAAAATTGTGAAATCTGAACAAGACTAAATGATCCACCACATCACACCATGTTGTGCTTGGTATACATCCCATGGGATGTACTAGGTATGTAAATATTTTATTTACACATGTTCCCAGTGCTTAAAGCGAAAGGGCGTCACCTGCGCATGAGTGGGAATTGAGTCCCAAGCGACGATAACAACACGCGCTAAAAATGCAGAGGCTTATGGGTAGACACTTGTTTGTATGGCCATCTGACACATGCGCAGGTAACGACTCCCCCGCTTTAAGTTGTCTGATCCGTGTTGGCCTTTTGTTTTTGAAAAATAAAACAAGAAAACTCAAACATGTAACAGTTCTTACTTTAATCAAAATGATATCGATGGTATACCATTTTATTTTTTGTAAAATTTGCAACCATATTTTACCATTGGAAGCACAAATAGTCATATCATAATCAAATGTATCAATATTTCTCGTTTAAACATATCAGTCCAATTCCGTCTGGTGTGTTGACAAATAGGATGTTTGGAAGCATTTAGGGCAGGCATGCAATGGTGTTGGAGGTGTGCCACTAATGAAGTAAACATAGTCATTTTCATCTCCAACTTTAACAAAATCATTTCAGCTGCATTTTTCCATTACTGATAAAATGTCTTTATTAAGAGTAAAAATTAATTAAGTTGAATATTCAGAAGCATTGATTTTTCCCCTCAAAGATACAGTAATTATATGCATTAAAAGTAGCTTTTATTTTAGTTTACTTTTTTTATATATTTTTTTATAATTTATAATTTTGTTATGAGTGAGTTTTGTATACACCATGTTCATACCATGACTACAACAATGAACTTTGTACGTTAGTAAGTGCCTGGCAGTTATTGTTGATCGAGAGAGAGCGTTAGTGTTCTATTCACTATGAACAATCACGTCCACTGACTCCCTGACCTTATGTAACCATGTTTACATCAGTGGGCACGATGAACAGAAGAGAATAGAACTCTTTGCGGGGCAAAAACAAGTCTTGCAGCTTTTCCACCCTTGATAAGATCTCTGTGGGCCTTTCCTTTCACTCCTGTCAAATTATATATTTTCTGATAGTCTGTATATAAATGCAATTTTGTATAAATTCAGTTTGGTTTGTAATTGTCATTCTGTAAACTGTTTTAGTAATATTAGATGAAAAATGGAAACTTATCTCTGTATTTGTATTTATAAGAAAGCCTTGTGCTTTTTAAAAATTGTTGACATAACGGACAACGCGTGTAGTTTGATCAGCTCTCTGTGAGTAAACTCTCGGCTAATGTGTGATATTCCTGGTACTCCAGATGTAAGTTGTATTACAGCATGAAATCACAAGCAAACTGTAAATCATTTTGATTTCGCAAGACACTGAAAATCACAGAATTTTGTAGCATTGAAAATTAT